CTTAATCCAGGCTGCAACTCTGTGTCTTTTTATTGAAGAGTTTAGTCCATTTACATTTAGAGTTAATATTGATATGTTAGCATCTGTATTTGCCATTGTTTTCATCTTTCCTCTGGTTTTATTTATTCATTTAATAACTTTTTTTGGCCTTCTTTCGTTGTTATTTGTCCCTCTGTTGGTTCTGGCTTTAGGACTCCTTGTAGTATTTTTTGGAGTTGGGGTTTAGTCATAATGAAATTCCAGAGTTTCTGTTTGTCTGGGAAGGTCCTTATTCTTTCTTCATAGAGGAAGGAAAGCTTTGTGGGATAGAGTATTCTTGGTTGGTATCTGTTTTCTTGGAGTCTTGACTATGTCCCTCCACTCTCTCCTTGCCCGTAGTGTTTCTTCAGAGAAGTCTGATGTCAGTCTGATTGGTTTTCATTTGAATGTTATCTGTTTCTTTCCTCTTATCAGCTTCATTATTTTTTCCTTGTCTTGGATTCTTGGGAGCTTTACTATTATGTGTCTTGCTGTATTTTTCCTTTTGTCATGGAAGTTTGGTGTTCTTCTTGCTTCTTGTATGTCTATTTTCAGCTCCTTCATATTTGGGAAGTTCTCTTCAATTATTTCCTTGAATATTTTCTCTGTTCCTACATCTCTCTCCTCTCCTTCTGGGATTCCTATAACTCTTATATTTCTTTTCCTCATGGAGTCAGATAGTTCCCGAAGTCTTTCTTTGGTCTTTTTCCTTCGTACTTCTCTTTCCTTTTCTGTTTTGGTTCTTTTTATTTCTGTATCTTCAAGAGTACTTATACATTCTTCCATTTCATCTATTCTGCTTTCATTGTTTTTCCTAGATTTCTTTAGTGCCTCCATTAATTCTTTGATCTCCTGCATTTCTTTTACTTCCCTTTTACTCAGTTTCATTCTTCTGATCATTGATTATTTTTCCCTTATCATTGTTTTCCTTCATGACTTCTGTCAGTTTTTTAATTACGGCAATTTTAAATTCTCTTTCTGGAAGGCTCAGATGTTCTTCCAAGTCACTGTCGTTGCCATCTGGTCGGTTGTTTTCTTTATGTGGTGTGTCTTTCTCCTGAGGAGTTGCTAGGTTGCATGTAGTTTTTCTTCTCCCTGCTGCCTGTCTTCTAATTTGCTGTATGTGTTGGGACACTGTGCTGCCGGTACTGGCTGGCATCTTTTTGGTGTGCTCTTTGTGGGGTTTCGGAAACTTGGTCCAAAAGAGTCAAATACTGTTATGCCAGAAGTCTAGTGAGACAATGGTACTTTGAGTATGTTTTTGGTCGCTGTCACAGACTATTTCCTCCTTTTGTGTTTAATTACAAAGGTGTGTCTTGAAGTCCCACAAACTTCCCTAGAGGTGGAGCAGCTGGATTGCACTCTGGGTTCCAAAAAAACTGGATCCCACTCTGGGCTCCAACTTCCTGCCAGGAGGGACCAGGCTTGTGGGGGCCTTCAGCTCACCTCTGACTGTGCAGGGAACCTTCCCCCTCTGGCTCTGCTGGGAGCCTTCTGCCAGTTTCAAGCAATCTCTGTTGAAGAAAGTTCCCTGTTCTAAGATGGCAATGCAGAGACACACTCACCTGCGCGTCCAGTCTGCCCTGGCCTTGGGTGCCCGCTCCGCCTCTGGGCTTGGACTGCTGGCCAGAAGGGGCCTGGCATGGGCTAAGTTCCCAGCTCACCTCTGGCTCCACCAGGAGCCTTCTGCTGGTTTCAAGTAGTCTTTATTGAAGAAAAGCCCCTGTTCTAAAATGGCGATGCGGGGATGCACTCCCCTGCGCGCCCGGTCTGTCCTGGCCTTGGGTGCTGCTCCCTCTCTGGGCTAGGACTGCTGGCCAGGAGGGGCCTGGCATGGGCAAACTTGCCAGCTAAAAGAGGGGAACATTTTTAAATTAGTCAAAAATACTTTTAAAAACAGCTAGAAAGTTGATTTAGAGGCCTTAGTATTCACCTAATTGAAGTCCAGAGAGAGAAGAGAAAACAAGGGAATGAAAAAAAAAAATCAGAAAGGAATAACACTGAAACATTCTGCAGGAATCCAGGGTAGGTTACAAACATCAGCAATCATGGAGTAATGAGTAGCACTGTTAGAGATGGCTGGTTCCAGCATGGATTCCACAGGTGCCTGCACTGACCACTAAGTGAAAAAGACGGAAAATATGTTTAGATTTTCAAATTCAAAAATTTACCTCACACACATCTTTTCTCAACAAGTACATAGAGACCATGCCTTCCTCAAACAAAGATGTGGATTTTAAACAAAGACACAAGGAACAAGGGTTAAAAAATACGAATAAGACAGGAATTTCCAGGAAACTCAGGAAAAAAGGTTTAGAAAATAAATTGGGTATCAAGTTCAGAGAAAATAAGTGGTCTGGAAAGAAAATGTGGTCAACTTACACATCACACATCTCAGCTGGAAAAAAATTCTTCTTGAGGAAAATTTCTGTTTGACATTGTAGGGGCAGGAAGGCCACAGTTCAGGTTTTCTGATCCAGAAGAGAGTTAAGGAGAATCTTGGAACCCTAAGTGGGTTTCTCAGGCTTTTATTGAGCTGTTACATATAGAGTAGCAAGCAGAGGTTCCGGGGGCCAGGAGGCCAGCAGGCCTCCAGGCCCCCAGCAAGTCTTCACTCTGGGCTTCTCTGGCTTCTCTCTCTCCTGCTTTTCCCCTGCTTCTTCTCCTGCTGCTTCTCTTTTGCTTCTCTCTGTGACTATCTCAATACTCCTCCCATGGCTCACTGAAGTAAACAAGACAGCTTGCAACAATGTAACAACTACAGTTGCCCTATCAGGCAGGGCAATCCTAGTGGTGGGAGGGCAGAAAACCCTGAAAAACCATTTACCTTGCAGACATAATTATAGTGTCTGTTATAACAATATGTACAACAGTATTATAATAATATGTGTAAGTGTGTGTATGTGTGTCAGTGCGTGCATGTGTCTAAAAGGACTAAATCTTTTTCTAGATTTAGATCCAATATCTAACGTGGTAAAATCAAATAGTAGAGTAGACTTATTATTTAGAGAAATAGAACAAATGCTAAAAGAAAAGCCATTTGCAGTGGTTGCTGCCAGTGTTGGGCAGTGGTTAAGAACTGCTGTTTGACTCTAGGCTTTGTAGAACAATTTGACTTATCTGTTCATATCTTATATAAAATATAGAATTCCGGGGCTCCCTGGTGGCGCAGGCAGTTGAGTGCAGCACTGTGAAGCAGTCTGCAGCCTCTGCAGTGAGGGTTTATCCTGGCCGGCCTCCCAGCAACCCACATGGCGAGCAGACCTCTCCTGCCTTGCCCGCTGCTCCCCTCAGCAGTGTATTTCACTCAGTCTGCCTGTTCTGTTCCCCACTCTGTCTCTGGTGAGTTCTCTCACCTTCCCACACATTTGGCCTGTACCCTGATTCTTTTATGAATAAATCTTTAAAAATATATATAGAATCCTGGGCTTCCCCGGTGAGGCAGCAGTTGAGTGCTGGGTTGCGAAGCTGCCTCTGCGGCGCCGGTTCATCCCCGGCTGCTCCCCAGCCACCAGAGGAGGGTTCCACATGGCGCGCAGACCTCTCCTGCCGCCCGCTGCTCCCCTCAGCAGTGTACTTCGGTCCTTCTGCCTGCTCTGCTCCCCGCTCTGGCTCTGGTGAATTCTGTTACCCTCCCGCGCTTCTGACTATACCCAGTGCTTGTATAAATAAATAAATAAATCTAAAAAAAATTAAAATATATATAGAATCCAAAAGGGATAGGAAGTGGTTAGAGTATATTATAATAGAAGGATAGAAAAATATGACTTTTAGAATAAAAAATAGAAAAATACATGTGAACTGTTAATATAAAATTTACTGTTTTACTTCCTTTGGCTTATATAACTTTTTTATTTTTGTCAGTAAATGTGTTAAGTGATTAAAAAAAATTATTTTTGTGCACATGCATGCACACAAACACTATGACTTCATGCCCCACCCAGAAGAGAAGTGTGCCTTACTTGGGAGGTGGAGGCATGCCCTCCTTCTGGCACACACTTTGTGAGCCTGAGCTAACAAACCAACAAACGCCAAGAATAGAACTGTTGTAGAAGAGTTCCCCAGCAGGGTGTGTGGAGAGTCCCTTCTCTCAGGATGAAACTGTCATCCCACAGAGACTACTGGAACCGAAGGTACCTGCTTGGCTGTAAGCTCCCTCAGAGAAGGAACCTAGCTTAGTATTGTTTGTGTTATTAGTGGTACATATAATGCAGTGTGACTTAAATGAATTTTCATCAGTAAGAGTGAGTGGATGAAAATGTATGTAATGAGGAGGCAGAGAGAATTATACAGTCTTGCAGAGATGAAAAACTAAAATCAATGGGGTCAATAATTCCAGGAGAAACTGATTTTATTTTCAATGATTAGACCTGCCCAACATTGTCATGATGTCTTTTGGAACTATAATGTGCCATTGTTGGAGTCTTTGAGGAGGAACTGGATTTCTCAGTTGTTTGGGAGCTCTATGTTCTATAAACTGATCCCACATCTGACAAACTTCATTGTGATTCCAGGTCCAGGGGCAACAGAAAGCTGTTCCTTTCTCCTATACGTCTGCATGGCTACAAATCACTGTAGATCTTCATAAAGCTTCCAGGAAGAATAGTTCTTTTTTGCATTTAATTAAGCACTGAGGGTTCCCTTTCTCATATTTATGCTGTGGGCAAGTTTATAAGTCTCCTGATTTGTCAGGAGTTCCTAAGAAATATGGGGCAGAGACCTGTGCTCAAGGGGTCCCTGTTGGTATCTGAGAGCATCTCTGGCCACTTCTGGGGCATTCAAGAAGCCCTCACACCACCACCTGTACCTTGTACCTAGGGTCTCCCCATACCTGGGGTCCTAGAAAGGTAACTGGCAACTTGACTCCCTTCCTAGATCCCAAATCATACTGAGCCAGCTTCTCAGATCTGTGCATCCCACATATGCACCACTCCCCACAGTCACCCACACACTAACTGCTTGTCCTCCTTTCTGCTTTCTAGATGTCTCTGGGGTCACAGATTGATTTACAGAAAAAGAAGAGACGGGCACCAGCTCCCCCTCTGCCACAGCCTCCACCACCAAGCCCCCTGGTGCCCAACCGCACTGCAGACTCCTTGGAAAAGAGGAAGAGCGCCATGGGTGAGTGAGTGTGCACTGGCTGCTTGCTCTTGTGTGGAATTTGAGCACTGCTATTAATATTTGCATCGGCCTCCTCCATGGCGGCATTAACCTGGAAAATATTTACACTAAAGAAAGAAAGTCTGGAAAAAACACTTGTGGATTGACTTAATACCTTATAGGTACAGTCCCTGTCTGCTGTTGGCATGTGTTGGGGAGGGTCGAGAATGGCTGGAGAAGGGGAGAGGGGTGAACAGTGGAGAGTTTTAATGTAGATGTGTGGCATGTCCCTGAGGCCACTCTCCGTGTCCCATTCAGCAACCTTATGTTTTGCCTTTGACCTAAAGGCTGTAGCTCCAAAGGGAAATATTCCAAGGATGAGTGGTTGTGTTTTTAGTAGTGGAAACTTTAATATGAGCTACTTGGCTATTTGATGGCATTTCCGCCCTAGTCAATACCTCATTTTTAATGATTTAGGATTTCACTGTCTCGGAAATGCTAAATGAGCAATAGCCTGTATTTCATATCAGTTCAACCTCTTTCCCAAGAGAAAATGCTGTCACAGTTAAAGAAACCTGACTGGTGGTTCATTAAGAGAAACCTAATTTTCTCCTTCTTTATGATGAGACTCCCATTCTGACTTCTAAACCCTCTCCCTGCTCTTTTCGTGAATGGGTGACAACTCTCAGAGTTACTGTTCTTTGAAATTTTAACAAGCAACCACTTTAAATAGTACTATGGATTGTGTCTGAATCCTGTGAACCTCCAGGACATATAACCCGTTTCAGCCCAAGAAAGACCTCCTGATTTAGGCTTGAAAATCTGTGTCTGACAAACTTGAAGAATAGGCCTAAATGTGGGCAGTCACCTGTTGTCTAATGATGTCAGAAAAGGGAGGCAGAGGGAGAAAGCTGTAGGGACAATTCCCTCACTAAAGACCTTGCAACAAACAGAAGGTATGGATGGTAAAGGCAAAGTGGAGGACTGAAGTTTCCTTCCTGCTGATAATAACTTTGAATAGTTTTTGAGGTGAAGGGGCTGTAGAGAAGGTCTTGGTGACTATTTCAACTAATTTCAGACTTATATCCCCATCAGAAATCCCCATAATTAAAGTTGCACTAGTAGTACAACAAGCAGAACTTTTAACCAAAGTCTTGGCTTTAAGTTTAAAAAATACCAATAAGCAAGTAATGTGTACTCACAAAATAATATTTTGGGTATTTTTTTCCTGTTCAGATTTTAAGACAGTAAGAACATGCTTTTTTTTGGAAATTATATTAAAAATAGTATCATGGTCAACTAGATTTGGGTCTTGACCCAAATTTTCTGGTAAACAGAAATAAGTCTCCATTAGAGAGCATATCTTCCCACAGGCCATCCCCTTTGGGATGCCTCCTCAGTCGTGAAAACTGGATCAAACTACCTCATCCAGACTGCTATTGGCTATTTGCACCTTGAAGGCAGTCATAATGTATTGAAATTAGTACTTTTCCATATCTGAAGGTCTGTAACCAAGGGAAGGAATAAATGAACATGTATCTAGATTAAGAAATGATGATTAATATTTTTATTAACAATCTATTGAAGAGCATAGAATCTACTACGTATTAGCAGACCCTAAGCTTTAAAATTAGAAGAAAGTATTTTTAAAAGAAGTAACAGTAAGAATGACTTACAACACTAATAATTCATATTATTTGTTTATAAATTCTTCAACTATAAAAAATTTTATGAGCAGAAAAGGCCATTTTTATGTAAAAGCGTGAACAGATCTCCAGGTGTAAACACATCAGAGGGTCTGAGCACAGAATGAAGCAGGGACATCCCCAACTCAAGATCCTCTTCCAAAAACAGTTTGAAAACTATGATCCTAAACTGTGGATGAGGTTGATAGTATAAATGGGCTTAAAGAGGTAAGCAACAAACAGTGGTTATTCATTCTGGGGTAGATAAAAGATACAGAAAAGCTTCAACAAATCTGTGAATCTGAAAAAGAGTAACACAAAACATGGAGTTCCTTTTAACTTGACAGAGCTGTTTAGGAGACTTATAAGAATAGTTTCAAGTACAGCTCTTCAAATTTAAAAAGTGTTTTGCCTGCCAGAAACAAATTACAGCCAGGGATATATTTTCAAAGTGGCCCAAGGATCAGCCACTCTATGTGAAGTGTTAGAGTATGGGTGTGGTAGACTGCAGTGCTGTGAGGTTGGCTTTGGTGCTGGGTGGGGCCGGACTGACCCTTAGGTTGTTCATGGTAGAGGCGAGCGATAGGATGTACCGCTTGGTGGGTGGACTGAGCGTCTCTGTCCTTAACCATCTGAAGTAACACCCCATTGATTCCATGTAGGTATTGGACGGCAGGTGCCACAAAAGCCTCCCAGAGGCACTGCTCGGGGACCCCCTCATTTAGTGCTCCCCCCACCCCCACCCTACCCTCCTCCCGACACAGATGTGGCAGAGCCTCTCAGCTTTCCTGGGGAAGGCGCTGGTGCCGAGGCCACCGACCTGAGACCCACACGTACGTGCCTCTTGTTTTCTTCCCCACTAAGTATTGGCCTTTCAGTTCTCCCCTCTGTGGTGTCAGGCTGGGTTTCCAGACTTTCCATTCTTTCCTTGGGATGTGTGTTCGTCTCCTCTCCAGCTTTTCCATCTAAATGCTCAATGCAATATGTCTGATTTCACAGTGAATGTGCTCCCAATGCTGTGCAAGTACTCCAAAGAATGATTTAACAGCTAACCACCATTAACCATTCAGATTGTGGTTAACCTCAACCAAGATTGTACCTTGTGAGTGGAGTTAGTTAGCTGGGAGCTGAAGTTCAACTTAGAGCTGACCTCAGTGCTCTGCAGACAGCAACAGCAGTCCAGTCCAGCATGACAATGACGTGATTTGGTTGATAAGCTCACCCAGGAGAGCTGCAAATGCAAAGATTTGTGTTCAAGGGTGGTGAGGACTTATAAACTAGAACTTTTGAACCATATGACTAACAACTAAACATTAGGATTGCTACCTGCAGAGAAGGAAACTTAAGCACCAGATGGAGAAAGAGCTTAACATGAGTCTATCAGTAGCCCCAATTAAAGGCTCATTTTGTTTCTATTTTTGTCACACCCTATCTGTGATCAAGCTGTCTTCATTGTTTCCTGGGGTTTCTTCTGGACTTTAAAAAAATATTAGGTAGAGCAGTCCTACCTCATCAGCCCATGCTCTTTTAGCAGACTTACCCTTGTCCTGTGGCAGCAATGCGTCATTAGAAGGCAGACAGTCCTGGAGGCAGTTTTCTGACAGTGTCACTGTGTTCAGCCCAGTGAGCAGTGGTGTCCACATGAGCATGTGCAGTCATCTGGTGACAACATTCAGACATTCCTCCGCTGGGCATGTGTTCTTTTTCTGCCTTTGGTAATGACCACTGGCTTGCTGTTGACTCCTAGGTAAAGAAGATAATTGTGAGTTACTTATGTGCTTATCTAGGCAAAATAATCCTGATTCATTTTCTCGTTCTTCACAAATTCTATCTTCAAAATGTTTAGATCCCCTTGACAGGGTTGCACATGCTTCCAGATGCAAATGATGTTTTTTAGGGTATTCAAAAATTAAGGGTCATACATGTCAGTCAGAAAGAAGCTGTGGCTCAGAAAGCTGAGAGTATTTTCACCTCTGATGACAGTGGGTGTTAAGTGCTACTCCCCAAGACTGAACTTTCAGTCACCTCTCCTGCTGTCACCCATAGATTCTTTTCCCTGGGGGACCAGCAAGGAAGGAACAGCTGAGTGAAAGTTGGAAACCTGAGTAACAAGCTGGGGACAATTAAGGAATGGTCACAAGACCAGTGGCTTTGTAGGGCTTCATAGGCTGGGAAAGTATGTCCTCATAGACCCCCTCATACACATGACCTCAAGCAAATCTACAGGTTAGCCTCCTCCAGGGTCTCCACAGGTTGGGGTCACACACAGTATATGGTGTCTGCCAGAGAGAAAGTCAGACAATATTTGAGAAGGCTGCTTACAAAGGTCCACTTAGTTTCCTCTTGGGTCTCTTCCATGCTGTTCACTCCTGCCCTCAGGACTCTCAAAAAGAGGTTTAGGGAAAGAATAGAACCAGCAACAGAAAAAATAAACTCACTGTCTTCCTGCCACCTGGTGTCATCTCCCTTCCTGCCCCATGCTAATTGTCCCTATGCATTTATCTCCCCAGATGCATGTGGTAGTTCACTTTTGCCCTTCTCTTTTCTTCTTTCCCCTATCACACACCCACAAAAATGATAGTTGCAGAGTGATGGAGAATGAGAGGAAGAGGGAGTAGAAGTCCCAGGAGGTTCAGTGAATCCTCAGGACCTAGTCTAGGCATTGCAGTCAGTGTTTCTCCCTCCCATGCTCCCTGCTCTTCTCTCCTGGCTGCTCCTGCACCAGAAGTTAATGTGGCAACTCAGAACTTTAATTTCACCTAAGAGAAATACCTTGGCCCCAGTTTATAGTATTAAAACCTGAGGTTTTCTGCCCAATCAGGCAGAAAACAACTTGCTGACTTTGGTCCAGATATTTAAAACAGTTAAAGAAAACAAAGTCTATGTTGTCATTTTTTCCCCACATAATGTTGACATCTTGGTACTACTTTCACCTTCTCAAGGGATTGCTGGCACAGAAAAAAACAAATGGATGTGAGTATCAGGTCATTGTTGACATAGATATTTCCCCTATATCTCTAGTCAAATTCCTGATGATTCTTCAGGATTGCTCAGTAGTTTCATGGCAGACAGAAGATGCCAGTATAGCTACTCCCGAGTTCAATATTAGACCTATGCTCCTTGAACAAGAAATGGTGTTCATTTGCATCCATCCTTCAAGGACTGGGTAGTCCAACAAGTTCTTGCACATGAGACAGGTGGCCCACACCACAGATCTATTGGGGTAGAGTTTGTGAGAAACTAAGCCAGAAGAAGTTATGTTATTAGCCCAAGGTCTTACCCCATAATTGGTAAAACAGAAATTAGCATTGTGTTATCACTGACACCCAGTTATGCTCTTTCCATTAACGTACACTTTTCTACCATCACACCAACCACCCCGTGAGACAGCTGTAGTTTTCACATTATTTGTGATTTGTACATTAGATGATATATTCTGCTTAGGTTGTCCAAGGGAGAAATACATTTTCTTGAAAACTAGTAAGCACAGTCAACACTCTTCAGATATAAAGAATTAAATAGCACATAAATAATGGATTTGTGTGTAGTTGTGAGGCAGTGATAAGACATGCAGGGTCCTCCCTGGTGGCACAAGGGGTTAAGACGCAGCACTATGAAGCTATCTGCAGCCACTGCAGCACAAGTTCGATCCCTGGCCAGGTAGCTACCCACATGGTGCAGCAGACCTCTTCTGATTCACCCGTTGTTCCTCTTAGCAGTGTATTTCAGTCAATCCTCCTGTACTGTTCCCCACTCTGTCTCTAGTGAATACTCTCACCCCCCACACCTCTGACCTGTACTCTAGTTCTTGTATGCAAAAATAAATCCTAAAAAAAAAAGACATTTAATAAGTCCTCTATAGTGCCACCTTTTATTTGTGTCTTTCACACTTTAGAATGTTCTGTTCTAGCTGCCTCCCCCCTCCCTTGCCCTTGATCTCTTGTCTGTAGATCTCATGAGATCTCAGTCCCTATGACTTTGCCTTAGTGCTGCCAACTTTCCCTTCTACTGTCAATTACCCTAGCCAGGCCCTAGACTTGTAGTCCAGGGACTAACCCCCCCCATTTCCATTTTCCTGCTGAAAGTGTTGACAAGTGTTATTATAGCCACATTTACCAGGAACAGAGGCAAAACAGAGAAGGGCATTTATCTCAGGCTTCTGAATACTTTTTGAACTAGTGCAGTTTGTGATCAGAAGAGGAAAATGACATCCCCTAATATCTACAGTGGACTCCCAGAGGCTACCTTTGTGCAGCCTGTTCTCCAGGCCACACTGACTGGACCCACTGTAGATGTGGGTCCTCTGCATACTCTAGGTATCATCAGCAGGGTGATTCTTGTCTCAAGATCTCATCTTTGACGCCTGCCCCTCCTTCCTGCCTGGATCTCCCATTATCCTAGACATTTACTCTTTACTCACATTCTGTATGAGAGGTTGTAAGGTCTTACTCATATTTGTATCCATTCTTCAACTAGCATGTTTCAATAAAGAAACCCACCAGAATAAGTCTCAGCTGCTATTTTAAGTATCAGATTACAGTGATTCATGCTGTTCAGTTCAGCTCCATTAAACTGAGATGTTCCAGGCAAAGGACAATCAGCACCAGCACTTAGGTCAGTCTATAGGACATTCTCAAAGGAATCATTATCATTGTCATATGAAAGCCTGCGATGCTCACACTTGAGCAAACTCTGAAGTCTCTGTAGTGTTCTGATCCCCACTTCTCCCTTTTCAGCCATTTTCTGATCTGGCCTATCAGTATGCCCTAAGTGGTGGGCATGTTGGTGGCTCCAAAGTGGTTCTCCAGTGACCCCACCTTCTCTCCTTTCCCTTTGTCTAAGCCTCTTTCCTGAACGGGGACTATATTTAGTGACTCACACCCAATGAAGCAGCAGTGGGTAGTCTCTTGTCACTACTGAGTTTAGGTTAGAAAGACTGCGCTTACACCTCAGGTACACTCTCAGCCACTCTGAGGAAGGTTGGCTCCCATGAGATCTGCTGTGTGGAGAGAAGGGGCCTCCAACCAACAGGAGGAACTGAGGCCCTCAGCCATCTGTTCTGAGAACCGAATCCAGCTGCACATGAGCGAGCCTGGCAGGAGATCCTCCCCTGAAGGAGCCCATAGATGAGCCCACAGTCTGATGGACACCTTAATGCAGTCATATGTATCAGAGGCAACCCCTTAAGCTTTGTCCAGAATCCAGACCCACAGAAACCATAAATAATAAGCCCCTTGGTATGTATTGAGGTAATTTGATCTATAGCAATAGATAACTAATACAATTTGCAAGTAAGATTAATCCTTATCAAGCCTACATAGCCAGTGAGAATTCTCTTACCTGATGGAACTCAGAAACCCAGAGTAGAACAGATTCAGTGTTAGTTGAATACAAAACCTGTGGTTCTCATCATAGATGGAGCTTTTTTTAGGCTTTTTTCTCTTTCATCTTACGAGCTGACCTCCCTGTGGACTGGTGATGAGGGGTCTGAAGTTGTTTCATGTGTCAACTCCAGACACTCAGATTTTCTGGGAAGAGTATCTCTCTTTTTTTAAAAAAAATAATAAATTTTATTTTTATATTCCTCCATACAATTGCAAACCCCCCATTCTGACCCCAATCCCTCCCCTCCCGCCCCCCACCCCCCAAAAAGTGTCTCTGGGTCATAGTTTTTGTTGATTTTGATTTTCACTTTCTTATAGTTATTCATTTTCCTCGTCCCTTATTTAAGTTTTCTAGATTCCTGCTATGAGTGAGACCATCCGGTATTTTTCATTTTCTTTCTGGCTTATTTCGCTGAGCATGATCCCTTCCAGCGCCATCCATGCTGCTG